CGGGAACACAGGCATCGCAAAAGGATTGACGCTCGGCTTATAGGGATAGGTCCTCTCAACAGAATTGGCCTCCACCCATTTGGACATGGCGTAAAATCTGTAGTTGTCGGCTATCAAGTGTAGGTAGATTGTTAGTTGCTGAGGTGCCAGCCATTATCGACCGAGGAAGATTGAGCCTTACAGTTTTGTTGCGTATACTCGCCGGGTGTGAAGTGACGATCGTAATTGGCTAATTTCTTAGCATTGTCAATACCGTAGGCTTTGTTTTCTCCGCGACCGTCACTGTAGTCGACAAGGAGGTCTCTAACGACTGGTCCCGACCCCGAAGATGGTGTGTTCATGAAATAATCCATATGCGTCGCCTCGTGCAGCCAATACCCTCCCCTAGCGTGCTCCCAATTCGCCAAGTTCAGACGGTCTTCTGCAGTCTTCTCTGTGTTCATGTATCTTGTTAGATCATCCAGATCCTTCCCCAGGGTGGTGTACTTCCTGCAGACAAGCGCCCGCGTATAGCGGTTATCGTCCCATTTCCACGTTATCAAGGCAGCGGGACCTCCTTCAGAAGGATTTTCCTTGTCTCCGCAGTAGTTTTCGGGGTCCCCGGAACCATCGCCGAGGCTGCATGAGACCTCAATCCACAGGTACTGCCACGAGTCGATGTAGTTGGGAGGACCCCAGTCTGTCCACCAATGGGTCCACATCTGTGAGGTGTAGTAGAAGATGTTCTGGATCTGCCTCTTCTTGTCGTCAGACAGTGTCTTCTGATCGCCTTGACCGAAGAACTCATTGATGCCCTGGCTGTTCCAGTCGATATTGCTCGACAGGCGGTCCATCAAACTGAGGCGGTTGAAGTCACGCCAGCCGTTTTTAATGTTGCTGAACGTCTCAGTATCGCACTGATAAAATCCAAAGAGACGAGTCTCGCGCAAGTTTTCAATAGCAATGTCGGACTCATCGTCATTCTTGAGAGGTGGGTATGGTGGGTTGCTGTCTTGGGCATACACAGGAGCATAATCCCAGAGGATGAGCGGATCATTGGTTGAGTATGATGGCAATCCAGGGTTACTGACGGCGCCATCATCGCCGCCGCTTCCATTGCATTCGTTGAAGTTGGTGGATGCTGTATTCGTTGCAGGGTCGACTTCGATGAGATCAGCTCGTCCTAGCCCGCCAAGGTTCGCGAAGTGCTAAGGTCACAAGCGTCAGCAGGTTTCATCCCTGATGTACCCTTAGTTGTGTTGATCGAGAGTGCCAAAGCCTTACCAAACACTCTCCGCGGTCAACGCCGCTGTAGAGGACGCCGCGGTTTGTCCAAGAGAAAGAAGAACCTCCAGCGGCACCACCACTCTGGTAGCCATTGTTCTTGAAGACTGTGCTGGCTCCAGTGTATTTGTTCATCCAGATAATGTCAGCCCTCCCAGAGTTCTCCACGTCGGCAAAGCGTATATTAGCGCGATCCCATGATTCTGCAAATTTGATCTGGCCAGCATCGAGAAGGCCACTCTGTCTATTGAGCCAGGCAGTCATGCGGCCACTTATCTCAATGCAAATAGGATCGGCTCGCCCGTCGCCACTGTTAGAAAGTATGTTATCGTCGAGTCCAGCCTGCTGAGTGACGATACTGGGGAAGCACTCACTCAATGTCTGCCAAGCGCATGCCCCTATCAAATATACCCACTCCCCAGCCTTCTGTGCAGCCAGTGTTTGCGACCACGCCCCGATTGCTGAACGTGAGTGCCTTTGCGCCAGCATCGTAATTATTCTCATACAATGTCAGAGCCCCGGTAGCTTTGTTTTGGACAAGCACATCGCATCTTCCGTTTCCGGTCCAATCAGCGAAGTGAATGCCCGTCCGGGGCCCGGGCACTGTCAGCGTGATCGAGATATCATGGCCCCAATTCGGTGGGGAATGGATGTTGATGTTGATCTCATCCACTCGGCCGTCGTAGTAGATCCAAACGAGATCATCAGCGCCAGTACCGCGCATGTCGCAGTAAAAGTTGCCGTCACCTTTGCGTCTTGTGCCCCCCGATCCCTTGTTTTCGAAGACAATCATATCAAACCATTCTTCTTCCTCTTTCATGTAAATGTAATCAAGCCTACCGGATCCGTAGATGCGGCCAAACTTGATGTTGCCACGGACACCCGTCTCCGCTTGACCGGGATGCGTGACTCCGGCCTTTCGCCAGTCAGGGACAATACCCTTCCCCGATCCGCGCTGGTTGATGTATGTGTCCAAGTTACCGTTGTCTCCAACGTACAGGAAGTCCGCTCGGTAGCTGGGGAGATTGTCTGCGTCAGCAACAAGGACACAGACAAGATATTAGACGTCGGTTGACTTCCTCGCCATTCAGGTCGGCAAGTTCAACGCCCGACAACGGCCCACTCCTGGCGTTGAACACAATTTCCCTGATACCACTTGCAGTCTGGAACCCTTGCCAGAAATGCTCGTCTCCCTTTCCGCCATTTCGGGAACACTTGACATCATCATCGCTGACTAGGCAAAAGTCGACTCTCCCGTCGCCGTCAATGTCCGCCATGCGAACCTCTCTTTGCGTTCTGTCGCTCTGGTCGATGATCTGCAGGGCGCAATCCTTAGTAGCTGAGCGGAAATGAGTCAAATGATGATGCGACTTGCCTGGCCGATAGATCGAAAGGCCGGTGGTGTGCCACCCTTATTCAATGAAGCCCACACTGCAGCCCCGGGCTTGATGCAGAAGAAGTCATCCAGGCCATCGTTGTTGAAGTCTCCGAAGGCATAAGCTACACGAAAGAAGGATGTTAGCGAATGATTCTGACTAAGCCGACTCTTTTGACTCCTAGGCGCATACTAGTAGTCAAGTAACTTACTATCATCTACGCCACAGTTGAGGTCCGTTTTAAACTCCACTGTTGGCCCAAATGAGCCCCCTGCTCCCAAGTTTCGACGATACATCCATGTAAGCTCCTGACTTTCATCGATGGTCGCGTAGACAAGGTCATCGAGTGATGCACTACGTGGTGAGTTCGGGTCACCCTTGACGATGTTCGCAAAGAACATATAATCGGTGGGGGATCCTGGGGCAGATGTCCTCGTGTACTTGATGATCTTTCCTGATTCGATAATTCCTCGCTCAACGCGATCGTGAACGTAATTCCCATCATCGTGTCCGCTACCTCGTTGAGTTTGAACTCGTCGAGCAGTTCCGGGAATCTTCTGGCATTTGGTCGTTTTGGTGACCTCGGCATCATTGACCGTCTCGACGTTAGGTGGCGGCTTGATCTTCTTCGCTATTCGATTGATGGCAGCCACCCACACAGAAGCAAAGAGCCTATAGCCCTCATCAGTCGGATGCGTTCCATCACCAATCTGATTGAGACTTATGGCATCGTAAATGTTGGCATAAGAAATTCTGTAGCCACGATACGTCGTGTAGACCAGGTTGCGATATCCTTGGCTCACGGCTGCAGCGCAGGCCTTGATGCCATCGTCCTTTCCACTTTTGACCAGAGACGAGAGGATGACCGTTGTGTCCGGCAGTGTCTTGAATATCTCATCGATCATTGTCCTCATATTCTTGATTGTAGTCTCTGGGGCCTGGCGGTTCTCGCAGTCATTCCTGCCTGGGGTTCAGTATGGACGGATTTCTGTGACTCTAAACCAAGGACTCACGTTCCAGCGTTGACCAGTACGAGATTGGGTTTCTGGTTGGACGAAAGGCGAAATTTCTCATTCACTTGGTGCACCCAGGCGCCCGGATGGCCTTCGTTGTCCTAGAGAGGCGTAATCAGCCATGAGATGTCCCTGCCCCAGAACGCTTTGCAGCTCACGTTATCAGCCATAGTGCCATCCTGCTTGGACCCAACCATGTTGACTTTCCAGCCCTCAAACCTTAGTTGTTCGCGCAACGCCTTACGATAGCCATTGTTGTCGCTCGAGAAGACGCCCCGGGTGATTGATGCACCGAGCGGAAGGATCCGCAAGTAGAAATCCTCAGCACGCTTCTTGAAAGTGTGGGTGCTATTGCCAGAAGATCCCTCGTTGTCTGGATAGTTCGTCCACGTCTCATTGCCCGCCAGCATAAGAACGTCCGTGGCGTAGGAGCCATTTCCATACAGAGAGGGGCCGTCCGGCGGTGACCAAGAATCAGCCGCAACAAGACTGCTCAAAGAAGCAAGCCAGAGGATTGGATGTGATCGGCGCATGCTTAAATCGCCTCACGCAACTCACAGCCCAGTGGAAAAGAGGAAGGAGCCACTAATGTCGGAGAGGTGAAGCATCTGTTGCTGAGGTTTGATGATAGCGGTGTCGTATCCCTCTTATACATGGCGAGTTCACAATCAGGACTGAGCTAGGTGTGAGGATAGTTACCGCATGAACATGGCTCTCGTTGGTTCTTCTCGTCCGTCTTTTGATGAACATGCGATTCAATAAATCCCACAGGATTCCGCAAACTTCGCTTATTCCTTGAGTTCTACAAATAGTGAGAGTTTTTCGGAGATTGATGCATAAATGGTAAAGCGTTGATAGAAATCGGAACCGACCATCGTGTCTCGTACGAATATGACCTTCGCCCGAGACTGTGATTGACTAGCGCTTATAATCCGCCCTTACATTCTCACGCACCGTCAGCAGAGCCAAGCCGTTACATTCTCATATATCGTAAGCAAGGAAGAAGTGTTGCATTCTCATGTATATAAGCATAGCCGAGGACATTTCTACTTACGTCGAATCTTTCAGTGATTTGCCCATCACAAACCTGATAGTCTGACTCATCGTAGGTAGTCTATCACTTAGGGAGGCGGGGGTAGTTCCCCGAATAATTGAATCAGAAATTCAGAAAGATCTTGTTGTGCCAAGAATCCTTTCGTTGAGTCCATTTTTTCTTTCTAAATGTCTTACACTCAGTCGTTACTTGTACCCAGAATATACCACAACAATTTTCCTGCAGTCATGAGTGATCTAACTCCGCTTTCTCCACGCACATCATAGCAAATATTCCACGCTCAATCTGATCTATTCAACTTCTCGCACCCTCTCCAGGCGGACAAGCAGCCGTGTTTGGCAACACATTAGTAGCCCCTGTGCCGTCAAAGTAGCAGGTGCCCAGGTCATTTTGGCAAGGAGAGTCTGGGCCAGGGCAGCACCAGCCGTATGATTTCCAATCGTAGTTCTACAATGGTAGTTGTCAGTAGATTGCCCATAGATCCGAACGCAGGAAAATAGGTGTATCCTGAATACGTCGTCTGGATAGCAAGAGAGAAGGTGTACTTACATAGCACGGAACCGGAGATGGCGCAGCACTAGTTGCAGCCGGCGCGGCAGACGTAGCAGTCTCAATGACCTCAATTGTGGTCTCAGGAGATGTTACCGTCACAACTTCCACGATGGATGACCCTGAAGATAACTCCGCAGCTGATGTGATTGGATCAACCGAGCTAGAAGAGGGGCTTGCTGGTATCGAGCTAGTTGGCGTTGGCGGACTAGAGCTAGAGCTAGGACTAGAGCTCGTCGTCGTGGTCGTTGAGTCCGCTCCTGCCCCGCCTCCACCTCCACCACCGCCACCAACAGGAAGGACCACGGGCACACCACCAACTACAGGAATAGCGATCGGAGCCACAGGGACATACGGATTTCCATGAGCATCTACAGTGGTATAGGTAGCTGTTGTGTAGCTCGTAGACCATGAGACGCCGGAAGATAGGGTCAAGGAAAAGATTTCGGACGAGACAGATGTTTGTGTAGATTCTCTCCTGCTCCAAGTACTTCTGGCACTCGATTCAGTGGGCCTTGAACCTGTACTAGATACCGAATCGGAAGATGTTCCTGTGGAAGTAGTTTCCGAGGAAGTGGAAACCGGGGTACTAGATAAAGATGTACCAGAAGTGAGTGTTGAGGACGTAGATGCGCTAGAACTGAGGCTGGAGCTAATGCTGGAGCTAAGCGTGGAGGAGCTCTGAGAGCTGCTAGCCTGAGAACTCGAAGACGAAGACGCACGGGAGCTACTGCTACCAGAGGACGAGGCGGTGCTGGAACTAGAGGACGTTGAGCTTCTGCTCGAAGACTTGCTAGAGCTAGAAGATCGCTTGCTTGAGCTCTTCGAACTTGAAGACGTTGAGGACGATCTAGATGATGTTGTATTGCGGTGTGTTGTTGTGGTGTTGGTGAAGAAATGAGTTGAAAATGTGCTCGGGCCCGTCGAGTTGAAAGACGGTGGGGGAGTAACGGTGGGATCCAGGGGACCTGTTTGACGCGGCATCAGGCCATTGTGCCGGTGGGCGGTATGTTTGTAGTGTTCGGCTCTCTCTACCAACTCATGAGCCGCTGCCGCCCCGTCATGGTGTCTAGCTTGCACAGAGAGGGCCGCGACGAGAAATGTCAAAAGAGTGAATATTTGCATTCTGCAAGAATACCAGCAAACAAAAGAGTGACTATAAAAAATACGAACGAGTGTGAGAGTTGAGCATGCCAAGACATCACGAGTCACTCATCAAAGGGCCAACTTCGCCCTTTTGTATTTTCATCCTATGACCTTAGTACCTTCCATATCAAGAGGCTTAATACAGGGCTGAGATGTCAATAGAGTGCTCAAATCCACCTGAACCCACAGAGGTGGCTCGGCATCAAGACAGTTTTCTTGGACGGAGCGGTAATGGCGGCAGAGCCCCTGATTCCCGGAGCCTTCGGTTCGTGTTCCTCGCCGAGCGTGACCAGTCCGCTTTCCGCTTCCGCGGGCCGCCGAGAGCTTTGGCCTAAACCCGATTAATACACACGGTAGCATTGCGTCTAGAACTCGTCCGGTGAAGCGCCGCAATGCTATGGCTGTCATGTGCTTGGCAGGAGGTGAGGCTGGTGCTCGAGTCAGTGACTTTGAAACTCCTTCTTAATATCGCCGTGTAAAGATAGTGCCACGATCCATTCGCCCCTGTCTGGCAGAGAGGCTGCTCAGAGTGTGTGGATCTATAGCTGTCCTTTTATCAATGTAAATGTCCAAGCGCCGTTGCCAGAATCCGTACAGGCGATGATATCATTGGTTCGGGATTCTAACAATTGTCCGTCACTGTCTTCCGATTTCCTGAAGAATCAGATGTACCAAATAAGAAACCTAAACAGTGCACTTTGAAAACATCACCTGCGCCGTTTCGCATTTGCGAATCTCTAGTTGGCCCAAGAAAAAACCCGTTGAGAAAATGGCATTTTGATATTTTCTCGTGAATTCTTTTTATCTAACCACCGTGCATAATCTTTCTATGTAGACTGGGTTATTGCGGTATTCCCAGCGGGTTGTGTGTCCCAAGTTGCAATGAACTCTCGTAAAATGGTCTCAATCTTTCGAAACAATAATTCCCTTTTACTTTGGATTTCATCGCAGTCCTCATTTGACAAATTCTCGCCATCTTCCTCCGCGAGGTTGTCCGAGACGATGTGTAAATAACCGAACTTGACTTCGACGTCCTTGGCTGCCTGTGCCATGTGCCATGTTTCGCAGTCGACCCAGGCACAAGTCTCCTGCCAGTGCCGTAACCATTCCTTAGTCTCGCACAACGGAGATGGAACCGAGACATGCCGTCCCCGCAAAACTAGATCAGAGGATGCTATCGACTTCAAGTCTCGGAGAGGGTCATCCCAAGCTATGGCTTTGTCTCCCAATGTCGATTCGTCTCCCGTGGCAATTCTCTCGTTGGCGGAAACGTTCTCTGCAAGAGATCCAACTTTGCTAACATAGATAAGGCACTGGGTCTTCGAGAATTTTCGCAGTACACGAACCAGAGACCCCGCCGCTTCGCCCCAGAGACCCTCTCTACACCCCAGCATGGTGATACTTTTGCCACCTTCAGACTCAAAGGTATACCAGGCAAATAGCCCATTTGGATGTTGTGAACCCCATGTAATTCCGAAACGAGTTGAGTCAGTCTGTGGACTTCACCAAAAATCACAACATCTGTTGCTCCAAGTTCTGTGAGATTCGACTGCCGGAGGACATCCTCGCTTGCCGAATCTGTCGGTATAATCGTTTCCACCTTGGGAACTCTATTTTCAAATTGTAAGTACGTCGATATCACTCTGCTGTAGTGTTGGACAAAAGTTGGGCAAGGGAAGCAATGGATTTCTAACGTCGAGTCGTCGATAATCGTCGCTGTCGGGCGCCGAAAGTTGAACGGTGTAAGCTGCTTCTCGATTTCCCAAGAGGATATCATTGCGGGAGGATCTCTTTGGAGTAAACCGGTAACTCGAATTTTCTGCCATCCCGGTCGTTTGATATCTTGATGAACTCTTTGATATATGTACTCTCGGAGAGTTTTGCACATAGAATGCTTATCTAATATTACAGTGTTGTGTTCTTCCAGGGCATGAGTGCCAGGACTTTCCGGTGCAGGATTATCGAGCTCTTCCCGGACATGGGAAGAAATGCCCATTGCGTCTGCTGCTAGGGATATCTGTCGAAAGAGCCGATTGACCCATTTTGACCATCAAGTCTTCGAATGCCTTGATACTCGCTAAGTCAGCGTTTTAGTAGCCGTGGTTTCATTTCGTCCCCGGGCATATATGCGCATACCCTTCTAGTCTCCACCTTGCAATCAACTGTTCAAAATTCTTTATCTGACTTGGAGGCGACGGTCTCGACATTGATCGGACTGGGCCGAAGTCGCAATTTGGAAGGTCTGGTGGGCTGGGCCACTGGCGGTTGGTGCTTTGCCCATGGCAACATGAGGTCAAAGGGCAGTTTGCTTTGTCGTTACCCCAACCTAGATGGTTACATGTGGCGAGAAAAGGCTTGTGGCGGTAAGAATCGAAGCGCTGTTCAGGTCAATGAAACAACAAAGCCACTTTCCTGGGCGCTTTCAACGCCAAGCAACTTGATGTTCGAATTCTTTGATCTGCACCCCCCTGCCGCAGACCAAATCACCACTGCCGTAATGTTCGAAGTTTCCATTGGAGGAAGCTCCGTGATAGGCGAGAAATTAAATTTGTGATCCTGGCTAGCTATTTCTTAATGCTCGAATCTTCCATCTGCTCCTCAATAAACGTCGTAGAGGCTGCACTCGCGGACCAAGGCCCGCTGTCCAAGTCGCTACCGTTCCGCTCGATCGCCGCCTCCAAGCAATAGGGGGATGACTTCCCCTCGCTTGGCGCCGAGGACTCTATTTCAAGCGAATCCAGCCTGACGGGCTTCTGTGCCACATCCTTGGGCCACGATTGGGCGCTTGCTTGGTGGGACCTCGAAGGGTGCGAGCCGATGTTGGCCATTGCGAAACCATGCCGTTGCTGGTGCTGGTGAGACTTATCGCCGGCAGATGTGGCCCGGCCGCTCCATGTCCGTGAAGAAACGAGAACCAGGGCTTTGACGAAGAGCGGCCGTAGGGCGGGCAGGCTACTGCACATCACGGCGGCGTTGAGCTCGGCGCAGGACCAGTCTATGACGCCGACGTAGTCCCCTTTATATTTGGCACCAGTTAGCATGTTAGTCCGATGTTGAATTCATGAAAATTCCCGTGAATGACGTACACGTAGGATCGAACGTATGAGCAAAATAGACCAGTTGTTTGAGTCGGATCATGCTGGCAACACATGCACTGGTTCGCCGGCGCGTCAGCTTCCGTTTCATTACAGGCGATATCGTGGACGACGAATACTCACAAGGATCCCAGGGCGAACATGCCGAACAAAGCGACCTTCTTTTTCTTATCTAGCTGGAGTCTCATAAGCTCCGGAAAGGGGAGAATGATAAGGACAATATCTTCAAGAATGCTGCAGGCCGCGCCGCCGGAGCTGATAGCTGAGAGGTTGAGACATTGACTCGGAATAGCCCGGTTCCAGATGGACTGGATCGGAGTACACTGGAAAATGACGAGAAGTAGAAACATGAGACTGCGCGTGGTGAGGAAAATCAAGAAGATGTTGATCTTGAGGCGGAAGGTCTTCCCGGTGAAGACACGATAATAGAAGCAGGCAATGGAAATTTTGGCGAATCCTCTGCACAATAAAATGATTAGTTACTGTCTTCCCCCTTGCTTGACAGCGAGCCTTTGACGTACTGCACGAAGATGTAGAGCATCTGCAAGACGTAAATGATCTGCAAAGTGTTGTGAGCAAAAAGCAACCGCAAGTGTAAAGTAAGTTGCACAATCTCATACCTGCAGGATCGTCTTGCTATTTGCAGGGTCGATATTCCAATAGTGATGTCCGAACCCCAAGTCTCCATCTAGATAGTTATTCAAGTAAGTATGTATACCTCTCGTTAATGCAGCATGGGGAAGGAGCAGCATGTACTTGCGTAGCCAAGACCGGATATTACTATCAAAATTGCCTGCAAGCACCTTATCAGACTGGTTGTTCTCTTCTATATCCCAAACCAAGATTAACAACTTACCATAGCCATCAAAGCCGCACCGTCGTCCCACCATAACCGACTGGCGACTTGTATGCGGGCAACACATCGAAGTAGCACAACCACGAGAGTCATGGTAGGAAGGGCAACGGAGAAGAACTTGGCAGGTCGTGATTGCTCTTCAATGGGGTAGTCCTTGCACAACTCTTGAGAGACGTTGACGGTGGCTTCATGTGATCTAGTCAGCGATAACCGCGTGAGACAGAGCTTCAGCGTCTAATTCTGACATACCAATTTGGTCGTTGAAGTCGCATGACTGCTGTACACACTGAGAACTGCGGGCCTGCAACGGGATGTCGGTGCAGACGCAGTCTGTTATCTTGTCAATGGGGCAGTGGGCGGAGTGGTATCCATCGAGTAAGCATCCTATCTGTGATTTAACAGGAGGGTTAGAACATGTTTTCTTGCAGTGATACCTGGGTGAACTCACTGCGCAATGTGGGACTCTCGCCATGAGGGCTGTCAGAGAAGACGAGTTCAAGCCGAATGTGGACGCTGCCTGTGCCACTGCGGCCACGAGCAGCAGAATGCCGACCCTCATGATTCGTTTCATCTTCGTGATGAAGGATAGGCACTGAAGCGTTTCACCCGGCGTGGTGGATAATCGGAGACCGCCCCTCTCTCTTTCCCACTCTCTAGAAAATCGCAAACCAAGGCCGGGCACGTCAACATCTTGTATCGGAGCCAGGGTCAGGGGTTTGAATTGGGAAAACACCAGACGAACGCGGGATGCCTTTGTCGAAGTCCCTAGGTTAGCGCCGTAGCGATCGAACCATGTACTCAGCACTAGTCACCGAGACACGAACGCCACAAGACGCCCGGCCGATGGGATGAGTGAACGAGCGTCTGAGCGATCTCAGTCTGGATGTGACAGGTCCCAAGAATCGACCCCTGATTAACACGATCCATGTTAGGAGCATGGGATGGATGATCTAGTCGGCTCGACAGCCAAGAGCTCTAAGTCCAAATGATCATTCAAGTATTTTGAGGATCAATCAAATAATTAGAGGAGCGTTACATAACCCAGACAAGCTTTCAGGTCGCCAGGCAAACCTTAGTATTCGTCACAAGGGACTTTTGATAGTATCTCAAGGAAAAGTCAAATTGCTTGATGGTGATGACGATGATGGTCATGATCATGGCGAAGATTTTACAGCCTGGTCCCGTGACGTGACAGCACTGCAAGCCACTCAGTTACGTTTGTCTCAGTTCGGTCAACCAGGCGACCAGTCGTGTTATCGGAACGCGTTTCCGAACCAAAGAAACTTGGGAATGTAGGTCGTTCTGGAAGGGGATGAACGAATTTCCCCTGGAGAAGGCTACATCTACACCTTGGATTTTGAGTTTTCCACCGTCGACGCGCCAGCCTATTTCTACGTCTTGTATACCTGATAGAGCGGCCCGTGCAAACTTTGGATAACTGGCAAAGACGACGCTTCTACCCAATAAGAGGCTTCAGCCACAACTCTAAACTTCCCCCCGGTAGAGGTGCGCACGAGTCACATAGCGCACTCACCCACAGCCCGCACGGCACTTATAGCGCAGGCACGGCGATCAATTGCTAAGGTTGTAGTTGGTCAATAATGATTAAGGCAGTCTGTTCTTGGTTGTAATGAGTTCCAGGCGCAGATGTCTGTTCCCTGTGATAATTATAAACTGTTGCGATCGTGGTGGGCGACTGCGACCGTGGGTAGGAAAGTATGGCCGCGGGCAACCACGACTACAACTGCCGTGAATGGCGCTGTCAAGTACGTGATCATAGTGTCGGAAGGGTTCGTATGGGGAAGTGGCCCCAGCTCAAAACTTCCATGTAGTGCAGTTGCGGGCGATAGTTCGAGCGTTATCACAATAATCACATCCAGGGCCGTCACTAGCATGCAGCATAAGTAGTTAGGCAAGGTGTCAAGCAAGGCAGAGCTAAGCCCACTGGGGGCAAAATACCCTTGGCAGCTGGAAACACAGGCCTCAAAGGAGCCCGAGTTGACATGCTTGGTGAGACTTGGGTGAGACCTAACCAGGCGGCTGGTCCAACAAAGAAACATGAGCCCATTCGGGGGACAAGACTTTACGGGATTCAATTCGCAGGACTTCACGAAGCTAGAAAGTACCGGATGTTTCTCCAACTTTAAGTCCGATCAAGGCTAGAATGGTATTGGACATGCGCGATATATGATGAGGTTTGTTCAGTTGTTGTTTCGAACAACTCTGCCGGCGAACGCTTGCACTCACCGCCCAGCCATGGATTATAAATCTGCCACTTTTTACGATTTACGTAGTCCTACATCTACAGTTCTCTAAGAGCCAAGCTAGCTCGTTTTGTCCCCATGTCCGATAACAAGATCGAAGGGTTCATCTACTTTACTCTTTCGGGGCTCTAGGCATCGGGCGTTCCTCTAGACGCAGACGCGTCGGACAGCTTTCCCGA